AGACCCTGTCTCAAAAAGAACAAAAAACAAAACAACCCCCCCCCACAAACAAACAAAATATAATAATGAAAAACAACAAAATACAAAAGGGCAGTCCTCATCCAATTCTAAAACAGCATGGTGCTCTGGCCAAGAAACTGGAGGAAGTTTGCCCATTTTTGACTGGATCCAAAGAGTGCATGCAGTTACTAAGTCCTTACTCCGTTGTCCTCGTAGAAAGGACCCCTCTCTGCACTTCAGCTCACTTTTCGGGCTAACCTTCGACCTTCTTGTATAACCCCACTGGTTCAGGGTGTGCAGTTCTCCTTCATATCTTTGCTCCTCTGAACTAGTCTAGGCTTTTCTCTTACCTCACTTTTCCTATAAATATTTATTAATTCCATGTAGTTGTAATAATACCAAAGTATGTCTCAGAAATTTTCGTGCTCGATATGCATTACATCTGCTTTTGTTGTACTTTAAAAAGTTTTGTTAGGACACGTTTTCAGTATCTGATTACATTCACTGTGGAGATACTTTCTTTTGAGACAGGGTCTTGCTTTGTAATGTGGCTGGCCTTGAACTTGTGGCAGCCCATCTGCTTTACCATCCTGCATCATGCCTGTCTTGCTGTTAAATGAATTTTGTTGGACCCATGGCTTTTTTTTTTTTTTTGGTATTAGGAATCAAACTCACGACCTTGCACTTGCCAGGCAGGCGCTGTGCCGCAGGGCTATCTCCCTGGAGAACCCATGGTTTTTATGCTGAGCTACATCCCTAGCCCATTTTAATTTTGAGATAGAGTTTCGCTAAGTCACTAAATTGCTTATGCTGGACTTGAATTTGTGATCTTCCTGACAGCCTCCCAGACTGCTGGGACTATCGGCATGTGTCACCACATCTCATTTAATGTGTAACAAGCAGCAGCATGGTGTCATTAAAAGATTAGACACCAAAGTAAAAAGATTTGTGTTCCTGCTTCAAATCTGACATTTACTGGCCTGCCGGTATGAACAAATCAACTTCCCATTCATTTATTGCTTCTTTTATTCAGTCCTACTTTGTACTAGTCACTAAGCTATGTGCAGGGAATGCAGGTATTTCAATCACATACTGTGTTCTTAAGGATTCCTAATGTAGCCAGACAGACAAGTGTAAGCATAGAACTCACAGTGCTAAGTGCAGTGTAACAAGATTTACACAGGGCATCATGGGAACGCTGATGTGACACCCAACACAGACCATGGCTAAAAGTAGAAATCAGAAAGTGTTACCAAGTTCTGGAGTTCAGGAGGTCTCCTTCTAGGAGTGCTTTCTAGGTTCCTTCTGTACTGAACAAAGAATTGGTCAAGCCAAGAGAAAAAGGCAGCAAAGTTTTACATTTATTAAAGGCATGCTCTGCAGAGCCAGTGTGGGCTAATTAAAAGTAGGAAACGAAGTACACTCTGCTGGGTGGAAGCAGACACTGAGAAAGAGAACACAGTGGCCAAAAGCTAGCCGAGTGGCTACAGTTGTTTGTATCTGCCACTCCTCAGGCTGACGTCAGCTCTAGGCTGTCCTATCAAAAATTTGAGTTCTTAGGAGTGTAAATAAAGGTAGCACTTTTTTTCTTTTTTGGATTTTTTTTTTTCCAGTACCAGGAATCAAACTCGTGACCTTGCGCTTGCCAGGCAGGCGCTGTGCCGCTGAGCTAAATTCCCAGCCCCTTTTTTTTGGATATCTGGGACAAGGTCTCGCTGTATAGTTCAAGCTGCCCCTGAACTCACTGCATAGCCCAGGCTGGCCTCAAACTTGTGGCAATCCTCCTGCCCCAGCCTCTCGAGTGCTGGGATTACAGGTGTGCACCACCATGCCTGGCAAGGAAGCACTTTCTGATTGGTCCTATGTGTAGGCAGGGCTTGTATCTCTTTTTCTGGATCTCAGTGATTGGCAAGTCATGCCTACTTGCCCAGACAATTCTCCACACCATCTTCTGCCCTAGAAGTACTCCAGCAGGCTTTGAACTCCTGGTGATCCTTCTGCCTCGGCCTGTGCAGTGCTAGGATTACAGGTGTGCACCATCATCTACAGCTATGCAGAGTAAAGGTTAAGTGGGGCTAACCTAGTAAAGGGACAGGAATATATTCCAAACAGGGAATTTCAACTAGGGGTAAATAGGCATGGGCCTTTAATATTGGCATGAAAGTTAAAAAGTAGAGTGGGAGGACAGAAATTGAAGAGAAGCCAGGTCATGAAGACTGTTGTGTTAATTTATTTTTTATTTTTTTCTTTTTGAGACAGGGTCTCACTATGCAGTTCAGGCTGGCCTTGAGCTCACTTTGTAGCCCAGGCTGATCCTGAACTCACAATTCTCCTGCCTCAGCCTCCTGAGTGCTAGGATTACAGGCGTGTGCCACCACGCCCGGATGTTATGTTACATTTAATAGCTTGGACTTAATCTAAATTGGTGGTTGTCCACAAGTATGCTGGAGTACAGTGATATGCTACGAATTCTTTATCTTGATTAGTATGTAAAATCTATGCGTAAGTGAATTCAGAATGAATCAGCAAATAAATAAAAGGCAAGAGGCATAGTATAAAACCAAGCCAAAGAAAGACTAGGTTCAGCAAAACCTATGTAGAAAGGTTATGTAGAAAGATGTAGCCAGTTTTAAGATTTGCCCCCTGCTGGCTGGAGAAACGTAGCGAATGGATTTTGCTGATTTTATCTAGTTTCCCCCTTCCCCACTCGCAGATGCTGGCGAGGGGGGTTTGCCTTCTAAGCACACCACTCCCTCTTCCACTATGCTGGGCCACCAAAGAGGTTCACATGGGGTAATCTGGACAGACCCAAACAAAGCCTCAGACCCAGGCTTCTTTCCACGCTGCTGTATGATCTAAAGGGAACCTGCAAGCAGCTGACAAAGGCAAGGCCTGGTGGGGTGGAGGAACTTGGTATTAGATCTGGGGGGAGGGCTGCTTTAGATTTCCACATTTTACTCTTCTACAGCAATAACCCTTATGTATTTTTTATGTTTTTGGGATAGCCTATGTCTTATGCTGGTCTTGAATTTGTAATCCTCTTGCTTTAGCCTCTCAGAGCGCTGGGAATACAGGTGGGCACCACCACGGCCGACTAAAAGTAACCCAGTAGCATTATTATGGCGAAGAATGAAGCAATACAAAGGTCACAGAAAATTGCAGCTGCCAAGAAATATACTGGCATATCCACTAGCTGTTAATATCGCTGGTGTGGTCTACTATCAGGACAGCTAATGACAGGGCAGTTGAGTCACTGAGCCTTGTTCTGGTCTAAATAGTTCCATAGAAGAGTACTTGGAGCAGGGTGATTTAGCATAGGGAGGTGAGTAGTAAATGAATTCATGCTAGAGGTTTCTAGTCGGTACTCCATGCTCACACTGCACAATGCAATTGTACTTTCTGAAGGTCTGACACAAACCCTCGTTTTCATCCCCAACTGTGGTGCCCACCCGTTTCACTCCACCTAGCATTAGAATTTGGCAATTTTTTTTTTTTTTTAATCTTTTTGAGACAGGGTCTTGCTATGCAGTTCACGCTGGCCTTGAGCTCACTTTGTAGTCCATACTGGTCTTGAACTCACAGCAATCCTCCTGCCTCAGCCTACCGGTGCTGGGATTACAGGCGTGTACCACCACGCCCAGCAACTGGTCTTTTTTGAGATAGGGTTTTGTTATGCAGTTCAGGCTGGCCTCAGACTTGCGGCATTTTTCCTGCCTGTACCTCCGGTGTGCTAGGATGACGGGCATGCACCACCACAGCTGGGAGAATCTGCCAACTCTTGTCTAGTTTATTTTTAATATTTAATTAGCATGGTACTACAGACTGAATGAGAGGGCCTTTGCATTGGGCTATATTCCCAGCCCTTTTTAAGACAAGCCCTTTTTTGTTTCAAGTGGAAAGATTTCATTCCAGGACCTTCAACTGGAAGGAAAACCAAGGATGTCATAAATTCATTACATCAAAATTTAGAGCCAAAATGATGCCTCAGGTTGAATGAGTAATGGCAAAGGCAAGGACTCTGAAGTCGGTTAAAAGCTGTGTTCAAATCCTACCAGACATACAACAACTGACCTGTTGGACAGTATGTAACACTTTGTCCCTGGGCCCCTTAGTCAATAGAAAAATACGGATGCACCTACATAAATACACAAAGCACTAGGGGTTAACAGAATATATCCTGAGGCTTTTTTATTTTTTGGTACTGGGAATTGAACTCATGACCTCAGACTTGCTAGGCAAGTGCTTATGCCGCTGAGCTCTATCAATGGCCTGAGGCTTTTATTTTTGCAGCTATGGGCATTTAACTTTATACTGAGCTACATACCTTGCCCTTACTTTTGAGATAAGGTCTCATTAAATTGTTAAGCTGCCTAGGTTGGACTCAAACTTGCAATCCTCTTGTCCTAGCCTTGCAGAGAGCTGGGATCACAGACTCTGCCACCACACTGGCTCCTGAAGCTTTTTTTGAAACCTAGATGACACAAGAACACAGAACAGTGCAAACTGTTGAAAGGATCAAGTTAAAGCTGGGGGCAATAGTGGAGAGGTTTTCTAAGGTGAAAAAAAAATAACCCACACACAACACAAAACTGGTGATTGTTAGTGTGAGGAATGAAGGAACAGTGGAACTTAGGACATTTTATGTGCACAAATTCTCAACACTGAACTTACAAAAAAAAAAAAAGAGAAAGGGTCAGTTTCTAGTGTAAGCATTACTAACAGCCAGATACTCTTGAGCAATCTGAAACATTGCATTTGACAGTTTTCCCCTTTATCTACCCAGGATTCCTTATCCCTCCTCACACTGTTCAACCACCCTGCCCTCACTTCCCACAAGACAAGCGATAAGAACTGGCCTGGTACACTCAATTCCACAGAAAAGCAGCCAGATGACTGAAGTATCCAATGTGCTTATGATAAGGCAAGGAAAAAACCCACCCTTTCTCCCCCACTGGAATTTAAACCGATAAAAGGAACAGAAAGACATCAACAAGTTTGAGTGAAATGTTGACATTTATATTGAAATATGTACTAAAACAGATGAGTTCTACTAGTCAAGGAAACTTTGCCAAAGCAGAGTCACAGGCTCCCCTTGGGGAGGTTAAGTGAGCCAGCAGCAGTGACTCCCTGAGAGGAGCGCCATGGGGGTGCCCAGGGTCCCTCCCCCAAAAGCCTCCTTTCAAGAGGTGCCCACTCGCTGCTCTCGCATGCATCCAGATTCAGGAGCCCGGACACGCTCCTGCTTTTTGTGTATTTTTAGTTTCTTCTCCACGGCAATAAATATAAGACTGATAATGTTCACACACCACAGCACAGACAGTAATTCAGGCGTTAGCATACAACTGTAAACAGTGACTAGGTGAAAAAACTAAAACTTGGGATTTTTTTGTTTTAAACAACTAACGTTACAATTAACAGGGCATGACCTACTTCAGATTTGTTTTGCTGCGTTGAAGTTTTTAATGAAGATTCAGGTTTAAGCATATGTCCTCAACAGTTCAAAGAGAGCCAACATGGTAGCCAGAGAACTACTGCAATCACTAATGTATGGGCAGCAAAACAACCTGCTCTGGACTGCCCTAGGCAGTGTATCTCCCTTCAGTCTACCACTTTTGAGATATGACCATAGACATCTTAAGAGTTCGGTCACTGGCTGCCTTGTAGCAGGAATGGTGGGCGAAGGGATTAAGATCTGCCAGGAAGGGCCAAGGGTATAGCTCACCGACACAGCGCCTGCCTGGCAAGTGTGAGGTCCTGAGTTCGATTCCCAGTACTCACAAAAAAAAACCAAAAAAAAACAAAAAGTTAAAATCTGCTAGGAAAGGAATAGAACAATACCTCTGCTAACTGCCTGGAAAGTTGGCCCCTCCACAATGACAACAAGGACATGGATAATGAGGACATTTCATGTGGACAGCGCATTAAATGTATACATTTTTAAAATGTACGAAGACTTAGCAGTAAATTCTAAAGCAAACTGGGATGTCACTCAAAGAAAAACAGATTAATGCTTTTTGCCTAAAGCACTGCAAAGATATCTGGCAAGAAATGACTGGACTCAATATCTGCACATTGGCAATAGGGCAGAATTTTATTTAAAAGACTAGTGGTTCAAACACTATTGCTTGAAGAGCTCTGGCAGATATAAAATGTAGTAACATCTGAGGTTTACACACACAAAGGAGCTGCAGGTCAGCTCACAAAGGAATTCTGATATGCAGTCAAGAGAGAAGCTAAAGCGCATGCTATAGGAGTAACCTAATGGATTCATTTGGACCATACTCCTACCTTCTGACAGACACAAAAAGACCTGGATAGGCAACTGGCCTTTTACACACAAAATTCTGGCTTAACTCTCCTTTTTGAAACTATACTTCAGCTAAGGAAAAAAAAAATTGTTCTGAAAAACTCAAGAACCTGGGCTACTAAAAATAAAAAGGAAATTTCAATATAGTAAACAAGTTTACTAAACACCATGTGTATTTTCTGTTAATGACATGATACATTCAGAAGACTAGAAGACAAAAACAAATTCCTAGAAAGTTCAACACACTTGCGCACCTACACACACACACACAAACAGCCCAAGTTTTATCCTTCCCAGTCAGAAGTGGATCTTAGAACAAATCGATAAACCTACTCCAATACACAAAGCCTCCCTCCCCGTTTGCTTTGTGAACAGAATATAAAGCACATATTTTAGCTACTGAATTTGAACATTAAACAGAATCACTGTAGTGCATTTTGATGGGTCACTTCAATACCCAATCTGGTCCAGTTTAAACATGTCTGCAGATCCAGTTTGCACATATTTCATAGCTATGTTCAATAAAGCCATTTATTATTCTATTATTCTTCTGAGTGGAAATTCTTTTGGCTCAAGCAAGCCATTTTATAAGGACCTCTTTTGAAAGAAATTCTTGGATGAAGCTACATTAGTAAGAAACCTTGAAAGTCAGATGGACCTAGCTCCTTTTAACTAAATTGCTGGGATAAACACAGAATGACTGTTCTGAGAGCAGATTCACTGTTTCCCCGTGGAAAAAGCCAAATCTTTTTTGACCAACAGAATTTAAGAGCTAAGCCAATAAAAAATAAAATACAGGGCTGAGGGTAAGGCTCAGTGGTAGAGCACTTTCCTAGCACGTGTGGGTCCTAGGTTTGAGCCCCAGAACTGGAAAAAAAATAAAAAAAGAAAAAAACAACAACAACCATACACCTTAGGATACTTTAAAAATTTGAAATAATGTCAGATGTTATGGAATGGGAAACAGAGTTCTGATTTTTTTTTTTTCAAAAAAATGTATGTTAAAAAACAACAAATTAGAACTCTTAATATGAATAACACTACACAGACTCCACAGCACAGACCACCACACAATAATGAATTATGTATCAGTACTATCATGAGTAACTGGCTGAGGACTTAAACTTCCAGCAACTGAGGTCCTAGGTCAAAAATACAGTAAAAGAATAGTATCGGTAAGGGGGGAAAGAAAAAAAGAGGAGGAAAGGGAAGAAAAGGCTGCATGCATGGGTCTATTATAGACATGATACTCAGCAGCATAAAAATAATGTCCTCCAAGAGTTCCCCACAGGGGGTTAAACCTGTTCTTCACTGCTAAGATGAGGAATGGTTAGGAGTGGAACAAACTCACTTGTAACTACAGTCTCTCCCATACATGAGTGACCAGCATGTTTACTCTGATGCTGTATGTTAAGAAAATACTGAGCATACATATGAGTAAAACAAAATACAAAAGGCTAAATTATAAACCTTAAAAATGGGAAAAGATGATTTGTTTTATAGCTAAGTAGATGTGATTCTGATAATGATTATATATAACATAATCCACAGGAAAAAAAGGCCAAGCAAAAAATCTTTATATTTTTCAGTACTTGGGCTTGATGATACTCTAGGAAAAACAGTGATAATTCAATGAAGGTGTCACGTATACAACTAAAAAGTCCCTTCTGGCTTCAAATGAATTTAAACAACAATCTTCCTTGGCTCATTTTTCTCCTGTGTCAAACAAACCTTCTATATACAGGACCAGTTTAAAGCCCTCCTCCCCTTCCAACACTAGATACGAGCATCCAGGAACATCCTACAATGCAAAGTGCCTTAAGAAAGAGGGTTCTGTAGTGCCAGTGATGTAACTGATCTGAGGAAGCTGGGTTACTAGCAACACTGGTGGGGGCCAGTCAGGCAATGGTGGTCTGTTTCTCTTCCGGTGTTTCTTCCAGCAACTGCATGATCAGTTCATGGAGGGGTTTGCAGATTTTTGCGTAGCCCCCTCCTGTGAGATGCAGGAAATCAAACATGTCGTGGCAGGAGATGGCACCGTCCGAGTGCACGAAGCCCCCATCTGTATCCAGGAGCTGCACGTTGGGGAGCTTCGGCAGAGAAACCTTGAGGAGCTGGTTCACCTTGGCATTCTTTTGCCTCAAAGGGTTGGGCTTCTCCCCTCGAGGTAATAAACCCTGGGGCGGAGCAGAGAAGAACATTAACTGTGAAGATCCACCTGTTTTTGTCTACTTATTTGTGATTTCGGACATATCACTTGCTGGGTGTGGTGGCACATGTTTGTAATCCCAGCACTCAGGAGGCTGAGGCAGGACTGCCATGAGTTTGAGGTCAGCCTGGGCTACACAGTGAGTTCCAGGCCATCCTGAATTACACAGTGAGACACTGTCTCAAAAAAATAAAAGGACATACAGCTCAGTGGCACAGCACCTGCCTGGCAAGTGCAAGGTCATGAGTTTAATTCTGGTACCAAAAAAAAAAAAATTTTTGATCTTTTCTTTATCCTAATTACACATACTGCTATTGCTTAAGATCTCATCATCGGGGCTGGGGATTTAGCTCAGCGGCAAAAGCGTCTGCCTGGCAAGCGCAAGGTCGTGAGTTCGGTTCCCGGTACCAGAGAAAAACCAAAAAACCAAAAAAAAAACCAAAAAAAGATCTCATCATCATTCACCTCAATTAATGGAAAATCTGAATAGTCTTCCTAGCTCCAATGCTGTTCTTCCTTTAATCTCTTCTCCATAAAGCCATGAGAACAACCTAGTTTAAAGACATACCTACCTATTAATGCCACATGAACGCTATACCATAACATACTACAACAAAGAGGATTGATCCACTGCTGTCTCGATGAATCACACCCATATATATTTAGTAAGATAAATCCTAAGTCAGGCATGGTGGCATATAATTGTAATCCCAGTACTAGGAAGGCTGAGGCAGGAGGACTGCCAGAGTTAAGGGCCAGCCTGGGCTACACAGTGAGTTCAAGGCTGCCTTAACTATATACAGTGAGACTCTCATCCATCCATCAATCAATCAATCAATCAATCAATCAGAAAATTTATTCAGCAACATTTATACATTTCCTAAGCAACTGTCATGTATCACCACCTTTCAGAGGTGGACTTTTTCTTTTCTTTGCAGTATTAGGCACTAAACCTAGAGCTTTGCACACACTGGGGCTCTATCACCAAGCGCTCTATCACCAAGCTATATCATTTTATATTTTGAGAAAGGGCCTCAAACTGTGATCTCCCTGAGTGGCTGGGATTACATGTGTGTGCCACCATGCTCAGCTCAAAGGTGGGCTGAACCACAATACTCTATCACCTTTTCTAGAATAAGGCAAAATATAAACAATGACATCAATAAGTAAATAAAGAAAAATCTGAATGCTCTGTGGTTTTTCTCTAACATCCCAGCCTCCAACTTTATGCATTTTTCTCTGTTCACTCTGCAAACACCCTGTGCAGCCTCTGACCATTTCTTCTCCCCCGCTTCTCTGTAATGCCTTATCTCCTTCCCTTTCCTCATTTGTGGGGAGACCCATGACTTCCTTGAAACTGAGAAAATGTCAACTTTTATGTCCAAAACATACCCTTATTCCCGCTCTTCACCCATTACTCTTCCCTCACTCTCATTAGCAGCTCTCTGTACGGCTGTCTCCACCTACTAGACCAAGCTCCCCCCCGCACCCCCCACCCCCTGTACCGGAAATCAAACTCACCACCTTGCGCTTGCCAGGCAGGAGCTGTGCTGCTGAGCTAAATCCCCAGCCCCAAGCTCCTTAAAAGGTGACATTCTATACATTTTTACATGCTCAGAATCTACAATAGTGCTTTGTACACTAGTGACTGTTACATGTTTTTTTTTTTTGTTGTTGTTGATATAAGATCTCACTACATAGTTCAGGCCGGACTTGAGTTCACTTTGTAGCCCAGGTTGGTCTTGAACTCACACCAATCCTCCTGCCCCAGCCTCCAGAGTGCTGGGATTACAGGTATGCAACACAACGCCTGGCATTTTTTGTTTTCTTGAGACAGGATCTCACTGTATATTTCATGCTATCCTTGAACTTGCGGGATCCTCCTGCCTCAGCCTCCCAAGTGCTGAGATTACAGGTATGCACCACCATCCCTGGCTCAGAGCTAGACTTTTCCACTAGGCGGAAAAAAACAGCTATCTTTGAGACTGTGAAGAATTAATACTTTTATTTTATAAAAGATAATCAAGGCAATATTATCAAGTACCCCTTTTCCTGCTGATTAAATTTTTAATGTTTTACGGAATTCAGAGATTTTTAATAAATATACCACCATTAACATATACATGCACCCACACACTTCTTTTTGTAGTACTGGAGTACTTCTTTTTGTAGTACTGAACACAGGATCTTCACACTGAGCTAAATCCCCAGCCTTTTTCATTTTTTATTTTGAGACAGTCTCAGCTAAGCTGTCCAGGTGGGTAATTCAAGCTTTCAATCCTCCTGCCAGTCTCCCATGCACTGGGAGTACAGCGGTGTGCCACCCCACCTGGTCCACCTTCAACCTGTTAATAGTGAAGAGAACAACACATCTAAGCTATGCTAAACCCAAGTCTAATAAAAAGACATGGATTCAGACATCTTATGCGCAAATTTTTTATCACTAGAAGTAAAAAAAAAAAAGAAAAGGGATACCTAACGCAACAAAGGATTTCCCTATTTCTAAAGGATGAGCAGATAAAAGATGAGCCTAAAGTTAGTATGCAGAATGATGAGACCAATTAGAATGGGATTGGGCTGGGGATTTAGCTCAGCGGCAAAAGCGCCTGCCTGGCAAGCGCAAGGTCGTGAGTTCGGTTCCTGGTACCGGAGAAAAACCAAAAAAAAAAAAAAAAAAAAAAAAAAAAAGAATGGGATATATCAGAAAACAGATCAGCAGAAGTATCATAAACTGCATCCACCTAAATGTTCTCCATATTTATGAGCAACTGCATTTTGAAAAAGATTCCTCAGCAGACAGCAATAATAAAGTCTCCATCCACCCAAAGACTACATACCAATACAATGATTTTGGCTTGCGGCTGTCTTGTGTTGATGAGCTGTACAATGGCCTCGATACCACCTGCTACCTCTTCTGCTGTATTTTCATGGTTGTTTGTTCCTACCCAGACAACAATGACCTATAATGGAGGGAACAGAAAAGGGAAGATAAATACTGAAGAATACAGAATTCCAGCCTTTAGATGAAAATCTTTCAAAAATCAAAGAAAGAGAATTTCTCAGATGGTACTGGATAGCTTTAGGTGGGCACTTATCTTTAAACACTGACTTATAACTCATATCATGTAACAGAATAAACTCCAAGTAGATTAATATTTAAGCGATAAAACTGTACTAGGCAGAAATAAGAGGCTTCTATCATCACAGAGTTAAGAGGCTAATCTCTCAAAATTCAGGAGCTGTACAAAAAAATAAATTCAATTGTATAAAAATAAAACTTTATATATATATATACACACACACATACATATATATGTATAAATAAAAATGAAGGCCTGGCATGGTGGTACACACTTATAATCCCAGCACTTGGGAGGCTGAGGCTGGAGGACTGCTGCAAGTTTAAAGCCAGCTTGGACTACATAGTGAGTTCAAGGAGGGACTGAACTACCTAGTGAGACCCTGCCTCTAAACAAACAAACAAACAAACAAACAAACACGCAAGTGAAATCTGCCAGGCTAGTGCCATATACCTGTAATCCTAGCACTCAGAAAGCTGAGGCAGAGACTGTGAATTTGATTCTTTGTTTAGTGACAGTCTTAACAAACAAAAAACCAAAGTGGAATCTAAACAACCTGGGGAAACTATTTATAATTCATATGATAAAGATTTCTTCTTCTCCCTGATTAGAAGTATCTTTAATAAGAGAAGTACTCAAGGGGAGTGTAATGGGTATAAACACTCAAGGAACAGAGGTGGTGGTGGGGGACACGCTGGGTACAATTTTAACAACATTTTCTCTTTAAAAAAATCTTTTTACAAAGTAGCTGTCACTTAGAGACATACATCTTTTATGCAACAAAATAACTTTCTACTCTGATCCAAAAGAGGCACACAGATGAATTTTTCTGTTACAAAGGCAAAGAATAAAATATCCTCAGCCGGGCGTGGTGGCGCACGCCTGCAATCCCAGCACTTGGGAGGCTGAGACAGGAGGATCACTGTAAGTTTGAGGCCAGCCTGGGCTACAAAGTAAGCTCAAGGTCAGCCTAAACTGCACAGGGATGCCCTATCTCAAAAAGACAAAAAAAAAAAAGAATAAAATATCTTCAATGAATGCAAATTTTATTAGCAGCTTAGCACTGGGTCTTTTGCTATGGTTGAAAAAAATTATATGCAGTGTGCTCAGGATGTTTATAATGTTGTAAGGTTACTGGGTAGAGATACTGCTCATTTGTTCACATCTGCTCCAAATTTTTTTCAGATGAACTTGGAAGACCTGATTACCAATTTGTATGGTTAAACAAATCAAAATTACTTCTTAAAGTAAATCATGGCGCAGCCCCTCGCCTACCTCTGAGTAGTTCCCCCCAAACTGCCTCAGCTCCACGCATTCTACAGAACAGCACACACCGTTTGTACCCAATCTCTTCCTACAAAGAAGAGCTGTGACAATTACAAACACAGTCCTGGTTTCCTTAGTAATTTCTGATGCAATGACAATGTCATTTACCTTAAAGAGACACAAAGCAAAAGCAACAGTGAAATAGTGCTTTAAAAAATGAGTGTATTTTTACTACAGTTTAAGATAATTTAACAATTTTACTTGAAAAAGGCTCAAAATTAATGTCATTCTTTTACAAACAAGTTTCATTTCACCTTAGGTTTAATGTTCTCCAGTTCTCCATTCTTTAGTCTCCATAAAACATGTCTTGTCGTATCTCCCCCAATTCCAAAATTAAGTGCATGAAGTGGGGAAAATAGTTCTCGCCATATCTAAAGAGAAGAAGTTGATGTAGTTAAGCTAAAGTTGGTGAAAAATGAAATCTTTCAACTGCGATGTGTTGTGAAGCATCTGAAATAACGATTTCTATTTTCTTTACTCAAACCTAACACTGTAAATGGTGTGCCGCTGACTGCTTAAAGTACTTTCAAGTTTGTGTTGCTCCGTTCATTTGTTCGTTCTTTCTTTTCTAATCAAAACCTGTTACTCAGTTCCTAATGGAACATTAGGAATGGAGTCGCAACTCAACCTGCTGCTCTAACAGAGATGCACATTTTTTTGGTTGGAGTGTGAGTATGTATGTGTGTGTGTATGTGTGTGCGTGTGTGTGCGTGCGCACACATGCTGGGCAACAAATCCAGGGCCTTATACTGTAAGGCATGCTAGGTACAGTAATACCACTGAACTATATCCCTAGCCCTACCAATATTTTTAAATTCAGCTGCCAACTCAAAAACTCCTCTCCACTCACTAAAATATTTTAAAACTATCTTTTCTTTAAAATTTCTCTCAGAGGGCCAAGGATATAGCTCAGCGGCACAAGCGCCTGCCTGGCCAGCGCAAGGTCCCGAGTTTGATTCCCGGTACCCTCCGACAAAAAAAATTCCCTCAGAAGAAAGCCTAGCCGGGAGTGGTGGCGCACACCTGTAATCCCAGCACCTAGGAGGCTGAGGCAGGAGGATCGTCACCACTTCGAGACCAGCCTGAGCTACAAAGTGAGCTCAAGGCCAGCCTGAACTGAATAGCAAAACCCTGCCTCAAACAAAAAAAGAAAGCCTAACTCTTAAAAAAAGGATTTAGAATAGGTCACCACAAAAATAACATAAAATAAGAAAATGGTAAAATACAAATAATAAGTGAGAATCGTAAGTAGGACAAATATGAACAAATATCTAGTTTTTGAGAAACTAGAGCAAAAAAAGAGAACGTAGTTAAAAACAATGCTGTTTTTGTCCGTCTCATCACACTTGGTGGCAAACAGAATCCCACCAGAAAGGTCTGACCTCCCTTTTACCTTAGAGCTTCTCTAATGGTCATGAATGGGGCTACAGAAGGTCAGTTCACAATGCAGGCTGATAATTATGGATATACCCAGTACCAAGAACCACCCTCACCCGCTTCCACGTTTACCTCATACTGCTGCATTAACTGTACCATGGAGTCTCCCACAAATAGTACATCAGGCTCTTTATCTTTACAATCCAAGACAAACCTATTGTGCTGGTTGGAAAAAGAAAGAAAAATTAGAAACCTATGAAATTTCTTGGCATAGAAAGAGCTGTTGTCCAAACAGTTACTGTTAAACACTCTTTCCGGGCTTCCTGGCCACCACGACACGAGCAGCCTCCCTCTGCCCAGGCCCTTCCACTATCCCCTTCCTGCCTTGGAGCTAGCCAACTATGGTCTGAGAATGTGAGTCAAAATAAACCTCTCCTTTCTTTAAGCTGCTTGTGCCAGGTATTTTGTTCCAGAGATGAAGAAAGTGACTGAAACAAATTTTGGAACTGAGAACACAGTCACTGCTGTAATGCTACCTGACCAGGTGGTTCAGAAGCCTCTAGAATGATTCACAGCAAGAATCTGGAAGAGTCTAGAGATACTGATTGTAGGAGCATGCCTAGAATGCTGCAGGCTGAGCTTGATGGGAGATGGTGGTCACAGGGTAGCAGATCAGGAGGAGGATAAAATGCAGATGGAGGGAAGGGGACACAGCTCAGTGGCACAGCGCCTGCCTAGCAAGCAGAAGGTCCTGAGTTCAATTCCCGGTTCAAAAATAAATAAATTTTTTACAATGTAGACTGTAAAGCTGGTATGGTGGCACATGCCTGTAATCCCAGCATTTGGGAGGGTGAGGCAGGTGGATCTTTGTGAGTTCAAGGCCAGCCTGCACTAAAAGGCGAGATCCTGTCTCAAAAAAAAAAATCTAAATGAATAAATAAAAAATTTAAAAATGAAACAAAACAAAAAAGGCAGCAGACAGGCCAGGCTCAGGAGACGTCAGTTTGGAAGAAGGGCTCCAGTGCTCCATTGATGGCTGGAGTCCAAACTATGTGTGTTATGCTTCAGCAGAGAAACTATTTGCTCATGTCCTGAGATTACAGACAGCAGACAAACTAAACTGGTTGAGAAAATCTGGCTGTTGCAATGTTAATACTTGCTGCCTTTAGCCGGGCTTATACTGAAAATCAGGAACAAATAGCCCTGATGAAGTATTCAGTCTCTTCAGAAGGAAGAGCTGGCAAAATTGGGAGTAAAGAAGAGCTGAGCTGCTGAAAAGATTAGCATTAAAAAGCAGCCAAGTACTTTGTATCAGGACAACGGGAAAATGCCTTGAGGGATCCTGAGGAACCAGCAAGGCCCCACCAAATTGCAAAAGTGACTCGCTTTAAGAAAGCCCTTGCCAGGCAGTGGTGCACACCTCCAATCCTAGCCCTTGGGAAGCTGAGGCAGGAGGATCCTGTGACTTTAAGGCCAGCCTGGTTTACATAGTAAGTTCAAGGCCAGCCTAAACTACACAAGGAGACCCAGTCTAAAACAAACAAACAACAATGAAAGCCCAAGGAAAGGACACTGTACTCAAGAGTGTCTGCCTAGGGATGCTGAAACCCTTACGACTCTGACAATTCTTAGAGATGGACTAAATGCATTCTGCATGAAGAGATGTCCATGAGCCTTTTGGGATTGAGGGATGCAATGTTATGGTTCCCTCAAAACTGTCATGTGCTCATAGGTGGGGCTTTGGAAAAGGGACTGGATTATGGAGAAGGTGGCGGGGGTAGGAAGAGGTGGTCACAGGGGGCAGGGCTGGAAGGGTGTATCTCCTTTTCCAGTTCCTTCTCCCTCTCTGCTTCCTGTCCGCCATGCAGAGAGCAACACTTCTCCGCCAAGCTGCTCTGCCATGCTGTTCTGCCTTGGAGCTAGCAACATGAGTCAAAACAAACTTTTCTTTGAAAACCAAACCCCACCAAACCAAAACATTCCTTTTAGGCCGGGGGTGTAGCTCAGATAAGAGTACTATACTTAGATGTGCAAGGTCCTGGGCTCTAGCCAGGCATGGCAGCACATGCCTATAATCCCAATGCTCAGGAAAGCTGAGGCAAAAGACCACAAGTTTGTGCCCAACCTGGGCAATTCAGTGACACCGACCGTGAGTCAACAAAACCAAACCAAACAACAAAGGGCTGGGGATGTAACTCAGTATAAAGGCCCTGGGTTAATCCCTGGTACTGGCAGGGGAGTGCTGGGCTCTATCCCCAGCACCAAAAAAGAAAGTATCTTTTGTCTATCCCTGAAGCTGTATCCTTTTTGTTCTTTAATTAATTAATTTTCTTTTCCTCCTCCCTTAGCCTCCCAAGTAGCTAAGACTACAAGTACCCACCAACACACCTAGCTAAGACACTTTTTAAAAACAGATTTTAAACTGAGTGTAGCTGCACATGCCTATAATCCCAGGACTTGGGAGGCTGAGGCAGAAGGACTGCTGCAAGTTCAAAGCCAGCCTGAACATAAACAGTGAGACCATCTCAAAAAAACAAAATAGCCACTCTGTTCTCTCTTGCATGGTAGCCTGCCCTCAAGCTGTAGGGTATAAACTTATTTTCCTACTTTTACTTGGCCCAAACTCACTCTGCAGAGCCTCTTTTCCTACCTTTAATAAAACTTTGTTTAAAAAAAAAAAAAAAGGATCTTACCTACCAATACTAAAGGACATAGTTTAAACTTTTATATTTAAATTAGAAACAAAGTTACAGGATGGTCTTGGCTAGAGATCTCTAATCTAGTTCCAAGAAAAGGGACAAACACAGTTTCTTTGTCTCAAATTCTTCATTTAGTTGTTTGCCTTAGGAATTAAGGCAGTTACTATTTAAGTATTTCTGCAGGCAATACTAATGCAGACAAGACTGGTAAAACAGATACACACTTAATGGAATGAATAAATGAGTGAAAATCAGAAAATAATTTAAAAGTAGAAATAATTCAACAGTTTCATTAAGACAGTTGCTCCTCAGGATGACAGGCCTAGAAACAGCTTTTTTCCTTGCTTCCAAGTTTTATGCCAATAAACATTATTTTTAAAAATACTCTTGTCTCAATAAGCTAAATTTTCATTTTTATTTTTTTTGTCTTTTTGAGACGGGGTCTCACTATGCAGTTCAGGCTGTTCTTGAACTCACTTTGTAGTCCAGGCTGGTCTCGAACTCATAATGATGCTCCTGCCTCAGCCTCCTGAGTGCTGGGATTACAGGCGTCTGCCACCACGCCCGGCCTAAATTTTTAAAATAATTTCTTTGTAGTATTGGGAACTGAACCGAGGGAACAATGAGGTCTATCCCACAACCTTAGCCCACTATTATCACCTCGGGGTATTTTCTTCTTAGCCTCATTTTCATGTGTTGCCCTCACCCCACCTTTGTGGTTTTTTGAATGAGGACCTCAGTACGCAGCCCAGGCTGCCCTCAAATTCATAGTCCTGTCTCAGTTTCCAAAGTGCTAGCATTACAGGGTTGTGTTACTACCCACCTGCCTTTACACAGTTAAATCACAAATACCTCATTCCAGCACAGTCACCTTGGGGTCAGAAAAACCTGTATTTCAATTTAGCTCACCTTCTAGTTCTGTGACCTTAAGCAAGTACATGATCTGAGTCTTGGTACTCAATCCCCTAGCAACAGATTATTTACTCTGTCTTAGAGCAAAGATGAGAGTTCTATAGGCCGGGTGTGGTGGCGCACGCCTGTAATCCCTGCACTCAGGAGACTGAGGCATCAGGATCAGAGGGAGTTCGTGATCAGCCTGGGCTACAAAGTAAGGTCAAGGCCAGCCTGAACTGCACAGCAAGACCCTGGCTCAAAAAGACAAAAAAAAAACAAAAAACAACAACAAAAAACAAAAACCAGGGTCTTGCTAAGTAGTTTAGGCTGGGCTTGAATGCACTACATAGCCTTGAACTCACTGTGATTCTCCTACCTCAGCCTCTGGGATTATAGTCAGGTGCCACCACGCCCAGTGTTAAATTCATTTTAATCTATAGGTTACTACCAGAGGTGATATGTCCCTCTGTTACCACCTCCCAAATTTTCTGAAAAACATAACAATTATCTGACCTTGAAGTAAAAAGGATCAAGATGCTATATGTATACATACCAACTCCCCAAGATGATTGTACTTAGATTGCTCTTATTACCTCAGCTTGCTCTCATTACGTATCACGAACATATATAAAAAAGGGAGGAAAAAATTATCTGACACATATATATGACCTCTTATAATCTAAATTTTGCTGACTGCATTCCTGTAGTGGACATGTTCATCTGACCCATGAATTTCCTGAAAAATTGTACTTACATCTAGCTTAGGGTTGGATATTGTGGCCATACGGTCAGTCCTCTGTAACCTCAATTCTGCATCCACAGATTCAAGGAACTACATATTGAAAATACCTGAGAACCAGGCATGGTGGTGCACGCATATAAACAAAGCACTCAGATCACTCCGAGTTCAAGGCCAGCCTGCGCTAAAGAGTAAATTCAATGCAAGTTTGAATACCACAGAAAGACCCTGTCTCAAAAAAAGTCTCTAATACTGAATATGTAAAGACTTTTTTGTTAGTATTCCCTAGAAAATAATATTCATATAGCATTGAGCTTATATTAGGTATTACAAGTAACCTAAAGATGGTATGTGTAGGTCATATGCAAATGTCATCTTAGAAAAGGAACTTAAAACATTTGTGGATTTTGGCTTCAGCCCCTTTCCTGTTCTGGAATCAATTCAGGACACCGTGATGCATTTGGTCTTTGTCTCTTCTGCTCTTGGACAGTGTTCTAATCCTTCCTTATCCTTTATGATCTTCAACCCAGGGCCTTACACATGCTAGGGAAGCACACTAGCACCAAACTACATCCCTAGCCCTTTTTATTTCACCTTGGACAGAGTTCTGCTAAACTGTTAAGACTGAGCTCAAACCTGAGATTCTCCTGCCCTAGCCGCCAAGGTAGCTGGATTACAGGCATACAGTACCTCACCTGACTTCAGTGGCACTTCAGATGAGTCGTGGTCAGCTGTTTTTGTAGGATACCCCTCAAACTGAGTTTGATATTTTCTCATGAATAGGCTGAGGTTACACATTTCTAGGAGTACTACCAGAGGTGATATGTCCTGTTTTGTTGTCTTTTTTTTGGTCTTTTTGAGACAGTGTCTTGCTATGCAGTTCAGGCTGG